TCTAAAAATGAAAAATAAAAAATTTTTTTTTAAGGGATTGATAAGATGTTGGTTGAAAAAAGGAAAAAGAAATATTCAAAAAAAACAGTTAAAAAATTAACTTTGAAAGACTAATGGATCATGGTAAAAAAGCCATGAATTCTATGTGCAATATTCCCCTAGCGCTGGAGCGATCCCGTTCTCATTGATCGGAAACTTGGTCTTGGCTGGCTGTTCTTGCTGATCTTCTCGGGGAGGGGCCTGTTGCGGTGGTTCCCAAATGTCTTTGCGAGAGGCGGAATTGCCCCGCCTTTGCCGGTCTGGGCTAAGCAATCTGCTCAGGTTTGCTCTCGGGAGCTTTTGTTCTCTGCAAGCTTTCTGTACAGCTTTGGAGGACGAGAGTGAAAATGGCGGCCTCCCAATCTCCGCCCTGGTGGAGCCGAGAACTCAGGCCCTGCTCCTCAGTGCGCCCCCAGAGAAAAGCAGTCAATCACTCCCGTGTCCCTGGTCTCCGGCAGCACTGCGCGCTCACCCGGCCTGTGACCGAGAGTTTCTATCTCTGGCACCCAACCCCGTTTGGAGTCTCCAAACCCAGCGGATCCCTGCGGTGCGTTCCCGCGCCGCTCCTCCCCGGGGAGGAAGAGGAGTCTCCCTGGATCTGCCGCTTGTTGGGTCCCTGCTGGAGGAGCAGTGGCCCGACTGTCACCGATCACAGTTTATGGCATTCCCGAGCTGAGAGCCCGCGCCTCGGCTCTGTCTCTGCAGCCGGCTTCCCCGCTCTGATACCCGGGAGCTCTGCCGCACTCAGGCACCCCCGGTCTTTCTGTGACCCCGAGGGTCCTGAGACCACACTGTCCTGCGAGGGTTCTACCCACAGCTTAGCCATTGGAGCGACGTCCCTCAGCGGAGCTGACTTCTAAAAGTTCTGATTTTGTGTTCCGTGGCTCTGTCACTTTCCAGAAGCGGCTGACGGAGGCCCCCTCCCTCGCCGTCTATCCCGAATATCGGCTCTGATTCACTTCTCCGCATGTCCTACCTTCCAGAAAGTGGTCGCTTTTCTGTTCAGAGAGTAGTTGCTATTCTTTTCTTCAATCTCCTGTTGAGTTCGTAGGTGTTCAGAATGATTTGATCCCTATTCACCTGAATTCCTGAGACCAGACAAAATCCACGTCTCCTACCACATTTTGCCCGATTTCAAGCTATATTACAAAGCTGTGATCACCAAGACAGCACGGTACTGGCACAAAAACAGACATATAGACCAATGGAACAGAATAGAGAACCCAGATACGGACCCTCAACTCTATGGTCAAATAATTTTCGACAAAGCAGGAAAAAACATGCAATGGAAAAAAGACAGTCTCTTCAATAAATGGTGCTGGGAAAATTGGACAGCCACATACAGAAGAATGAAACTCAACCTTCTCTAACACCATACACAAAGATAAACTCAAAATGGATGAAAGACTTCAATGTGAGACAGGAGTCCATAAAAATCCTAGAGGAGAACATAGGCAGTGACCTCTTTGACATCGCCCACAGCAACTTCTTTCAAGATACATCTCCAAAAGCTAGTGAAACAAAATGAAAAATGAACTTTTGGAACTTCATCAAGGTAAAAAGCTTCTGCGCAGCAAAGGAAACAGTCAACAAAACAAAGAGGCAACCCACAGAATGGGAGAAGATACTTGCAAATGACACTACAGATAAAGGGCTGGTATCCAAGATCTATAAAGAACTTCTTAATTCAACACCCAAAAAACAAATAATCAAGTCAAAACGTGGGCAGAAGATATGAAAAGTCACTTCTCTGAAGAAGACATACAAATGGCTAACAGACACATGAAAAATGTTCAATCATCATTAGCCATCAGGGAAATTTAAATCAAAACCACATTGAGATACCACCTTACATCAGTTAGAATGGCAAAAATGGACAGGGCAAGAAACAACAAATGTTGGAGAGGTTGTGGAGAAAGGGGAACCCTCTTACACTGCTGGTGGGAATGCAAGTTGGTACAGCCGCTTTGGAAAACAGTGTGGAGGTGCCTCAAAAATTCAAAAATAGAGTTCCCCTATGACCCAGCAATTGCACTACTGGGTATTTACCCCAAAGACACAGATGCAGTGACAAGAAGGGCCACATGCACCCCAGTGTTCATAGCAGCAGTGTCCGCAATAGCCAAACTGTGGGAAGAACCAAGATGCCCTTCAACAGATGAATGGATAAAGAAGATGTGGTCCATATATACAATGGAATATTACTCAGCCATCAGAAAGGATGCATACCCAACTTTTGCATCAACATGGATAGAACTGGAGGAGATTATGCTAAGTGAAATAAGTCCAGCAGAGAAAGTCAATTATCATATGGTTTCACTTATTTGTGGAACATGAGGAATAGCATGGAGGACATTAGGAGAAGGAAGGGAAAAATGAAGGGGGGAATCTGAGGGGGAGACGAACCATGAGAGACTATGGATTCTGAGAAACTGAGGGTTTTAGTAGGGAGGGGGTGGGGGGATGGGTTAGCCTGGTGATGGGTATTAAGGAGGGCACATACTGCACGGAGCACTGGGTGTTATATGAAAACAATGGATCGTGGATCACTACATCAAAAACTAATGATGTATTATATGTGACTAATATAGCATAATAAAATTAAAAAAAGAAGAAATTACGGAGTTTTTGGAATCTCTATCAGGAGTTGGGATCAAGACCAAAATATGTATTTCTTTTCATATCACAGTGTTGTATCTGTTTGTCTGTACCTGTGCCTATATCTATCTGTATCTATCTTTGAACTCTTTTCTGGTTATATCTTTATGGAAAATTCCTAGAAGTGGTATTTTTGGGCAACGGTTATGTACTTCTTAAAGCCTTTTGGTGCACATTGATACTGGAGAGCTTCCCACTTAGACACTCACCAGCTGGTTGTAAGATTGCCTATTTTATGTCATTGTCATGGGTGAGCTTGAAATGAATGGTTTAGTTGGCCTGGAAAGCTTAGCCTGACAGAGTAGATGGTGATGTAAAATCAACCTCAGGGGGATGGGCTTTCTAGGAATGGCACCTAAGTTCTTCAAGGATAGGGACCTGGTCTTGCCCTTCTCACAGCTCCCCCAACCCGAGTTTTGTGATTTCCAGCAGCTCACTTACCAGAGGTGGGTCCTCCTGCACCAGAATGGGCTGCTCTTCTCCCGTTTTTCGCTGCACTGCCCGCCCCCTAGTTCACGGCACATTCCTCTTTCCCTCTAGATGGGCTGTTTGCACCACACTCGGGTCTTCAGAACTCTGGGGCTGTGCGCAGACTCCTGGGTTGGCCAACATACAGCTCGCTCCAGTCTTGCTTCGGAGGCCTGAAATTGGATTCCACAAAGCAATTCATTTTTCTAGGCTTGGTTAGGACCATGATTACTTCAGTGGGAATGAAAATGGAGTCAATTAGTAACTATGACATTTATATTCATGTATCCAAATAAAGTTTGAGATGTTTAAAATTCTGTAGGTTAAACTCATGCATGAATCAAGTCAAGTATTTAGAATATGCTTATGCCATCACTAAAGTTGACTTTTACATTCTCAATTGTTTTGGCAGAGAGGAGGTGTTTGTGTGAGACAAGCAGATCAAGGACGTGAGAATAAAGATGTGGGATTCCTGTTTCAGTAAAATGAGCTGGAGTATAGACAGCTATAGGCAGTCCCACTTAGGGTGTATATGCTCCCGCAAAAGAATCACACCCTATACAACTATTTTTGCTAACCCCACAGAATCAATTGGGGACATTATGTCCTGTTATTAAATTTAAGGCAACCTTAAGTCTCTCTGTTCTGCATTTCTGTCTCAGAAAAGTATTTTTTAAGATGTTGAACAAGAAATTTCTTTTTTTTTTCTTTTTAGAGGGAGGGAGAGAGAGAGAGATAGAGAGAGAGCATGCGGATGGGGTGGGGGGTGCAGAGGGAAAGGGAGAGAGAGAATCTTAAGCAGACTCTACGATCCTGAGATCATGACCTGAGCTGAAACGAGGAGTTGGATGCTTTAACCGACTGAGTCACCCTGGTGCCCCATAAATTTCCCTTCTTTCTGTGATTCTCTTTAGTTTCTTCATCATAATCTTAGAATTCAGATTTTGAGGTCTTTGGGAATTTATGTTAGAAAACATTTAATACAGATTCTGAAATGATGTGCTTTTGCTCATCCTTTTAATTTCAGATGCAGCTGGTAATGGCATCTTCAGATGCCCCGAAGATCCCTTGTGGGGTGGTAATTAACAATCATTCCAGGTGCATAATCTGGAAACTTGGTTCCTGGGGGGCACTGTGGGTGAGAGAACACGTTCATGCTTGGTTTGTCCCAATTGTGACCACAGTCTCAGTCTTGTGGCTTTTTTCTCCTCTCCAGTGGTTGCAGCTCTGACCCACAGCACTGTGGATTAGCCTTTAAATGCTCAGCTCCTTGGGAAGAGCCGGCAGTGAAAGCAAGAGTGTCATGGGGTCGTTCACATGAGCCACGAACTGAAGGGAAAACAAGTTCAGCACCTATCTGCCTGCCTTCTCAGTGAGGCCACAGAGTTCTCTGAAATAAAATTGTATTGCATTTGCCATAGTTTCTGCAGATAGGAAAATCCTGAGATGGGGACAAACGATACTCACCCATCTAGAGTAACCTGATGTTGGGAGTCATTTAAAAATAATTGATTGAGGGGCACCTGGTGGCGCAGTCATTAAGCGTCTGCCTTCGGCTCAGGTCGTGATCCCGGGGTCCTGGGATCGAGCCCCGTGTCGGGCTCCCTGCTCCACGGGAAGCCTGCTTCTCCCTCTCCCACTCCCCCTGCTTGTGTTCCCTCTCTCGCTGTGTTTCTCTCTCTGTCAAATAAATAAATAAAATATTTAAAATAAAATAAAATAAAAATAATTGATTGAATAACTTATCTTTTGAAATGATCAATCCCCTCCTCTCTCCTTGTGTTTCTGTTCTGTTTGTAGCTGATTCAGCTTCTGTTTCTGTCTTTTTTGTACAGGCTGAACATACTTTTGACTGGCATGAACCCATTCTACTTTCATGCGGTGAATGTGATTTTACACTGTCTCGTGACTCTTGTCCTGATGTACACCTGTGACAAAGCTGTCTTCAGGAACCGGGGACTTGCTTTTGCTACAGCGTTGCTTTTTGCTGTGCATCCTGTTCACACAGAGGCGGTGAGTATCATTGGATCTCCGTGAAACGAGGAACTAAGAAAAAAAAGCTAAACTGATCTCCCCCCCCTTTCAAAACCATGTGAATTCAGAGCTCCACTGAAGTGTTTATCTTTATACATAAATCATTCTGTTTGATAACTTGTCTTTTTGAATGTTCACATCGCCTCTACGATTTAACTGCTTTTCCAGATAACCACTGTTATTATTATGTGTTGTAATAAACGGCCACAGTTCTATATTTGAAGAAAATTTAAGTTCTAATGTGTTTTAAACAGCACAGGGCATTTGGAGGTACTTATCATGCTGAGGCATCGTTCCTGCTCTACATTTGTATTTTACCTTTTCTCTCTCTGCTTTATATTTATAATATTTATGGTGCCAGTGAGTGTGAGGGAAGGGCTAAAAAGTTAGACTGACATACTTCAGGGTAGAAAGACAGACTTACAATAGGGACTTAGAAATAGGTTTCCAGGTTATTTCATGTGAAGTGTGGTTATTTGGTGGGTGATGCAAAATTTATTTAAAAAGTATAAATAGTTCAGATCTGTGGTCCTCTTTGAAATATGGACTTAATCATGCACCAAGAAGGCATTTATCAAGTTACCTTGTTTCATGGCTCAGTAACCACAGTTGGTTTATTTTATCCTTATTGCTAGGGGCAGACAAAGACTTTCCGAGGGGCCCATGGGCCCCACGGCTTTAGAATCATTTCCAGAGCCTCAGCTTGCTTCTGGACACTTGCCTATAGTTTCTCTGAGAACACACGCAGGGTCAGGGTGTCAAGTTGGTTCTCCTCTCCCTCCTCCCTTCCACTTGTCGTCTCACTGAAAAATAAAAAGGAATGTCTCACCTACATCAGAATTTTTCTATGCCCCAGGTGTCCACATCTCTGAGGTACTGTTTAAAGAAACAATTTAATATATTGGTGTCAGCAAAGCCTCCTTCAATTGAGGCATCACAGACCCTGGAGTGGGGCTTCATATTGCTCTTTGTCTTACACGTATTTCTGTGAAGAATGGAGCGTAGCATTAGAAGTGGAGTATGGTGGCCTGTGTTAATCTTCTGAATTCAGAAGTGAGATGGTTGTCATGGGAATGCATCATAATATGTTCATTTGAGCTGACACAAGAAGCCTGATTTGGCCAATTGGTTTTGTAATGAGGACTGGTTTTGCCAGTTAGGCTACATGAACACAATGTAGTTAGGCTACATGATGGACTTTTTCTACAAACAGTATTCTACATCTGTAAGCCCAAGGTTTTGACACAAATATATTTGGAGTGAGTGACAAAGAAAAAAAAATCATTTTATAAAAAAATTACATTACTTAAGGTCAATTTCCCAGGCCTTTTTTGAGTATTTTAGACTGAAAAGGTCCCTCTAAGTGGAAGGCTATAAGTAGTAGTCCTTTGGAAAGTCTCGGTGAAGCCATTTTTGCTGTAGTGCTGAGAAACCATGAAAGTGAATGACTCTAATGATAGGTAACTCTCATGATGGGTATGTTGAAATTATTTGCTTTCAACCAAATTAAAGGAGGATCTGATTGAGTTGTCGGGCCGGTAGATCATTAAGCATTATGTAATATGATAGATCACTATGATTTTGCAGATGACCTTGGTGTTCAAAGAATTAAGTCACTGCTATAACATAGCTACTTCTGTTTCACTTACTTATGTGAACATTTCTGTAAAGATGAAAGCTAGGATGGAACTGATACAGTATGCTTTCTTATTCTAACCTAAAGTAATATTCCGTCAATAATTGCACTTATTGAAAAGAAACGGACATCTGGGTGACTCAGTCGGTGAAGTGTCCAGCTCTTGATTTCAGCTCCAATCATGGTCTCAGGGTCATGGGATCGAGCTCCGCGTCGGGCTCTGTGCTTGGTGGGGAGTCTGCTTGAGATTCTCTCTATTCCTCTGCCTCTCAAATAAATAAATCTTTAAAAAGAAAAAAGAAAAACCTGCTAAACCTGTTATTAAGAAGTGTATTTTTATATCTAAGAGCTATTTATCATTTTTTCTAATTTATGATGTATTGAGCAATTGTGTATTAATACTAAGTGGGGTAACTTCGGTAACTTTATATATGTATTTTTATTACAGAGAGAGAAGATGATAAGTAGAATATTTTTAAGCATGACTGCACAATACATTAAGAAACAATGCTCAGGGGGAAATAAAATAGAAATAAGAGTTCAAGGAGAATGGGTGTGAAATGTCTGTCATTTAAAGAAGAGCCTGTTCACGTTTGTGTAAATGGAAAATAATAAGCTTCAAATAATGAGCTCCTAGCCATATAGAATATATGATGCCGGGTCAAAGTACAGTGGAGAATATGTGCTTGGAGTATCTTGGGGAAAATTTTTGCATGGAAGAATAAAGGAGTAGGAGAATAACAGTCTTAATTCTGTGCTTGTAAAGAGGGAGAGCAGGTAACCTTGGACAGTGGGGTCATGGGCTGGTAGAGTTTGGTTGAATTCTGAGAAAAAGGAAAAATCCTGTTAGCAAAGTGACCTTTAAGAAAAGGTTTCAACAAGCTAATAAAAAAAAAAAATCCATGATAGCACAATTATAGGGACAAAGGAGTCTGAGAGCTGGACATTTAGGGAAAAATTTTAGAGAAACTGTTTGCATTCACAAGGAATGAGAGAAGTGTAAGAAGGAGGTGAAGAAATTTGACTTACGTAACAATCTGTACTAGGAAGTAAATAGGAGACCATCATTCAATTATAGGTATTAGTTTAGGTTTCTAAGGAAGAAGACAGAGAGATAGGGAAAAAAAAAACATTGTGTTACAGAAGACTTAGTGATAAATTATTATAAAAGAAAAGAAAAATAGATGATAGTGTGGCTGGAGAGGGAGTCAGAGGGATATATCTCCCCTTTGCTAAATAAGAAGAAAATCAGGACCGTAAGTAATCCCAGGAAGGATGGAGGATTAACATTTTTTGAGGGAGGGGTTCTGTTTAAACATGTTGGTATGATTAAGGATTTGTTTCCTTAATTATGTAATCAACATACAGTAAATGAATACTTGCTTGATGTAGGCACTGGTAGGTGCTGGGAGGGTATGTGTGTGGGTAAGGGGTCCCTACCCATAATTTGTTCACCAGCTCCTAAAAAAGCCAAAGAACATGCACATAAATACATACAAGACAAAACAATATGTTGTAATAAAAAATTATCTCCAACTTAAGTATAAGGAACAAATTCATTGATTTTCTCAATCTTTCAACAAATATTTAAGTGCGGGAGGTATAGCAATGACTAGGGTAGGCCCAGACCCTTCCTCATTGAAGACCTTGCGATTCTTCGAAGGGTTTTCTGACAGTATATTTTCTGAATCATCAGAAAAATAAGCAGAATGGTGAGCGCTGTGAATTGTGCAAGACTGTTGAATCACAGATCTGTACTTCTGAAACAAATAATGCAACATATGTTAAGAAAAAAGAAAAAGAAGAAGATAGCAGGAGGGGAAGAATGAAGGGGAGTAAGTCAGACGGGGAGACGAACCATGAGAGACGATGGACTCTGAGAAACAAACTGAGGGTTTTAGAGGGGAGGGGGGTGGAGGGATGGGTTAGCCTGGTGATGGGTATTAAGGAGGGCACGTTCTGCGTGGAGCACTGGGTGTTATGCACAAACAATGAATCATGGAACACTACATCAAGAACTAATGATGTAATGTATGGTGATTAACATAACAATAAAAAATTTAAAAAAAATAAGCAGAGAAATTGGGAAAATGGGGAAAATCATTGTAATTCCCTGGTGGGAATGGAAACTTAGCAATCATCATAGAAACATTATCGGTTGGAAGGAAGGCACTTATGTCAAGTCAAAAGCAGGAACAGGAGATACTGACACATGGAGTTGAGGGTTAAGGTCACCATTTCCAGAACTGGGACAAGAACACATAGGAGAGAATCGGTCATGATCTAATCAGTCAGCCTGGCTTTCAGCTGTTGCATGTTATGTGTGTGTTTCCTGGCCCTGTCTGACACTAATGGGACTCATTTGTGCAGAGGGAACAATCAATAACTTGGTACATATGGTATACTTTATGCAAATCCTATGAATGGTCTGCTAAGAAATAAGAAGTTTGGGGGGCAAATTAAATTAACTGGTATTTTTCACATGTGATTCTGTTAAGCTTGCTAGGACTTAGATCTGATTGTTACATTGTTTGAATGCTACCCAATGAAGTTTTCTCATTTTTACCATCCTTTGAGTTTGCGTTACAGGATTCAGTTCCCAGGTAAAAACCACCCTCTTGGTGAGGAAAACCTGCAGCTTGAGGCAGAAATGCATGCTATCCATCTGCATGTATTTTTGGCTAAGTCCTTTGTACTTCCCGGCATCCTACAGTTCAGCCTATGTTGTCTTAGAATCAAGCCCCAGGAGCTCCAACTTAACATCCCATATTTGCTCACTCCTGTCCCCTTTCATTTGCTTACTCCATGCTCTCATCACTTTATGCCTTCCCTTCCAGAAACACCTCCTGTGTTTTCAGACTGCGCCTTCCTCTGCCTGGAATGCTTCTGTGGTCCTTCTTGGGTCCCGGATTCACGTTCCCCTGTCTTGAGCTTACTGAGCCTTCCTTGCTTGTCCTTTAGGTTTTAGTGTATAACACCAGCCTTTCCGTGAAGCCTTCCAGATTCTGCAAAGTCAATCCCTCCATTCTTCTCGTGGCAATTATTTCTCCTCTTTATGATACACGCGGCTCCCTTGTATCGTATTAATACCCTCCTTTGACCCCCCCCCACCGGATGTTAAACGCCTTGCGGCAGGGCATACTCGTCCATCTGGCACAGTACCTGGCACAGAGGATGTCCTTGGAAATCGTTTGTTGAGTGGAATAAATCATGCCGTTACTGAACATGATGATACTGACTAACTGAATTGCAGTGAAAGTGAATGGTTGGTCTAGACATACAGTAGTTGATGACAAGCACCTTGTTTTTAAGACCTCTAACCCCTTTGCCCCAGAGACCCCAGCTCAACAGGGATATCGAGTAGGTGTTCAGTGAACTGGCCACCGAGTCTCTCAGTGTCAGCACTAATATTTCAACCCACCCTCTGAGCTTCTGCTCCAAGGGATGCTACATTCTTTCTATCTGGGCCGGTCCAGCTGGCTTCCTGGCAGCACAAACTGGCTGCAATCTGAGAAGGAGGCTTCAGGCGCCTTTAGCACATTAATTATGCTTGCTAGCTTGTGATTGCCTCCTTCCAACTTGCTACACCCAGTATCAGCTTGCAAGTCTTGCTGTTGTGTGAGTTGGCAGCACCAGTTGTGCCGTGATGAGTGTCCCTCTGGGCCCAGATGTGTTGCTAGCGAGCTGGGCTCTCTGTTTCACCTTCCAGGGGCCTTGCAGGTGATGCTGAGCTCCATGCTCAGAGACGCCGTTGTGCAGACGGAGCAGATCTGAACTCATGAGTGATCCGTGTGCAATTGTTGCTTTCCTGACTGTGAGTCAGAGCTGGTTCTTGACACTGAGGTGTGACACCATATTGTCATTGCCTACCTCCCTTGAGTCGCGCAGTCTTCCTGATTTGGCACTCAAACTCCTTATAGATTAATGGCTCAATGAACAGTGTGTGTTCCAGGTATCCACATCAGCTAATACCTTTTAACTCTGTACTGCTCATGAAATTCTTTAGCCATATCCAGGTTTCTCTTGGTGTAGATTGGACTAGAATTTTGCTTTGGACTAGAATTTTGCTCAGTATGTGACTTGCTGTCAATCCCTATGCAAGTATGTAATTAAATTATCTTCTTATATTTTTAACTAATATATTTGATTATCTAACAAAATTAAATTAAAATATCATACATATAAGCCTTAATATAAAAAGATGATTTCTATAAGCCCCACAAGAAAACCTGTCTCAGCACTGAGTCCCACCCACCTTCTCTGCAGGGAAAAGGAAGAAAAAAGGACACCCACATTGAGTGGGCACTTCATATATATCATCTCATTAATCACAACAGTATCATGAGGTGGGGGTGTTATGCTCATTTTAAAGATAACAAAACGGGGGACACCTGGGTGGCTCAGTCAGTTAAGCGTTAAACATCTGCCTTTGGCTCAGGTCGTGATCTCAGGGTCCTGGGATCCAGCCCCATGTCATCAGGCTTCCTGCTCAGCAGGGGGTCTGCTTCTCCCTCTGCCTCTGCCCCTCCCCCCTGCTCGTGCGCTCTCTCTCTCAAATAAATAAATAAAATCTTAAAAAATAATAAAGATAAAAAATCAAATCCCAGAAATTAAAGATAACAAAATTGAGTCTCACTCAAACCACAAGAGAAGGAGTCTGTATTCAAGCCTTGGATGGTCTAGCTACATGCATGTGTCATTGCCCCTCCTTTAGGACTGCAAAGTGTGCTCATTATATGAGAGTATTCATAAGTGTATTTCCCAGAACACTGTTTTCTGCTATTAATTATGATTGATTCTCTAACACAGTGGACTACAGGTCCTGGATGGTTTGGGTGATGCAGTTTTCTGTGCCTGAAATGTCAACCCTGTTCCTTCCCCTTGTGAGCTCTTACTCATCTTTAAGATCCAGCTCATACATGGCCTTCGTGAGAAGCATTCTTTGAACCATACCCCATTTTTTTCCTTTACAGTTTTATTTCTTGAATTTCAAAAAAATCAAGAGAAATGCTTGCACGTTTTAAGTAGTAGTGGACTAACACAAAGATTGATAAATAGCTGTCTGTTCCCCACTCTCCCTCCACTTCTGTCCCTTTCTTAAGTAACATGTTAAAAAATTTTTTTCAACTTCAAAAATATAATGACCATATACTCATTGCCCAGATTCACCAATTTTTAACATTTTACTACATTTATTTTTGTCATTCTTCCTCTCTTTTCCCCTTAATATATAAAAATATTATTCGTATTCTGAAGCATTTGAGAGTAGGTTGCATAATTCATGCCTCTTTACATCTGAATAATTTAGTTGTATATTTTCTAAAACCAAGACCATTAGTCATATTTCTCTTTAGTCTCAAGTTTGGGGCAGTTACCAGTCTTCATTGTCTTTCTATAATATAATTCACAGCTTTAAATATAATTTAAAACTTATTTTTAGTATGTGTATTATAAACTGTTTACATGATATTATAACATTGCAATTGATGTGTAATATGTTATTTCAAATGATTATTATTTATCATACATATGTGTTGTATAACTTATAACCCATGATTTATAAAATTTATATTTTCTAAACTTCCTTATTTATATTTTATATTAAATTTTTATAATGTAGAGGGACAAATAGTATAACTCTTTTATGTAAAATATTGAAATATGTAAAAATATACAGTATATAAAATAGAAACATAATATATGCACATGTAATATATTATGTAAGCATAATATACATGTAATATGTAATAACATAGACAGTATTATAATACTTTAGATTATAGGAGTTGTAATATATCTAGTAAATCATGATACAATACAAAGGAGGAGATATTAAAATATTGAAATTTTAATGATATAAAATGATGTAGAATTGTTGTATTTTATACTTTATTAATATAAAATATATGTATTTATATATTTGATAGAGTGTTCCTCACCCTGGGTTTGTCCGATGTCTTCTCCTGATTATATTCAGGTTATGTATCCCTGGCTGGAATTTGACAAAAGCAATATTGTGTCCCTCTCAGGTTATCACCTGCAGAGACATGCCACATCTGTTTGGCCTTTATCGGTGAGGTCAAGTTTGATTCCCCAGTTAAGGTGTAATGCATTTTCTCCATAGTACAATTATTCTTTTTACTTTTTTATTTAACAAGTAAATGCTTTGAAGGAAGTGCGTTGAAGCCCAGCTAACACTCCGTGCTTTATTAAACCTTTACACCCTAGATTTAGCATCCACTGGTATTTTGTGATGTCTCTTGCTCATTCTAATCTTGAATCTTTTGGATGCAAAATGGCGATTTGCCAACCACACTATTCCCTCCACATTCATGAACTGGATTTTCAGTGTAAGGAAGAGCTTTCTATTTTTTCCCATTCACTTGCTTACTGTATTATGTATGTGCTTATATGTGCATTCATTCACCCATCCATCAATATCAGGATGCACTCATGGATGTCTGTTTTTTTTCAATGGTTTGTTTTATTATTGTCCTTATTTATTTTGATGTTCAAATGGCCTGATATTTGGCTAGTGGGAGCCCCTTGGCACTGGCTTCTGTGTCCTGTGGACATGTACCTGTCACTTTTCGCACACTTTCTTAACTTTTAACATGACAAGATGATCCAAGCTCCTCTGGTATCTCCTTAGCCTCAGCCCTCGAACCGGCCACTTCTCCAGGGAGCCCATGTTCTCTTTCGTGGAGGAATGGTTGGCGGTCAGTGCCAGGATGGCTCTTTGCTACTGGACTATCTTGCTTTTAGGCTCTTTCAGTGACAGAACTAAGAAACACACACACACACACACACACACACACACACACACACACACACGCATGCATGTACATGTGCTCACATGGTGATCATGAGTTCATACTCATTCCTATTTTTACCAGGATTATTGTTTCCTAAACTTATTTTTTTCTAGTCCTCTGTAAATATCCTCTGCTCCATTAGCACTCTGGTACCAAAGACTAGTGCAGTGTCTGGCACTCAGTCATTGCTCGAAAAATATTTTTGAATAAACCAGTAAATGAATAACCTTGATGATCTGAATTGCCCTTCTATAGAAGAACGGTGAAAAATAAAATTAAGCATGAAAATATTTTCCCTTCCTTCCTCTTTTTCTCCTTCTATAAACTTACTGTTATATATATGATAACCAGAGGTGGTTAGTCATATGTCAGATTTGAAGAACAATGTGTTTTCTCATTTTATCATACTTTACATTCATCTAAAAACGAATGCATTTCTGTAACTGGTTTCTGAAAGTCATTTTCTGAGGTCTTTATTTTTTCAAACTTTCTAGGTGGCTGGAATTGTTGGCAGAGCCGATGTGTTAGCATGCCTGTTCTTTCTGTTGGCCTTTCTCTCCTACAATAGGTAGGTATGGCTAAGAATGCCCTTCTCTGTGGTTGCAATCCTGCTTTCCCCTGGGGAATTTCTGGTGTGTGTGTGTGTGTGTGTGTGTGTGTGTGTGTGTGTGTGTGTGTGTGTGTGTACGTGCGCTTGCGCGCGGACTTTGAGCATCTATCTGAGAGAGGAGGGAGGCTTCTTGGCAGCAAAATGCCCAGAGAGCTTTGTGGAGACCAGCTTAGACAGTCCCCCCTTAGCAAATGCAAGGCTGCTCTCTCTTCCAGCCACATTCTGAGCCTTGCCATCGCCTTTTAAAGGGAACTGCTCTCCCAGTGTTGGGAAGCTCTGGCTTCTTGATTATTCTTACTGAGAATGGAATTTGAAATCTCCGAGCCAATATATATTGGGTTGTAAGTCCTTTCTTCTGTTTGGCTGTGATTTGTTTAATTCCTCCTTTTTCATTTTGGTCTTAATTTTTTTTCCTCTTTATTATCCTCACTAAAGTAGCTCAGAACTTAAAATAACAAAGGCTGAATTGGAGGTAGTATTTCTTAACTGTGGTTTTCTAATTTACACATCCTTTCATAAAAATACATAAGTTCCTTACTTTGGGATGCTGAAAAGCAATAAAATAATTTCCCATTATATTGCCCTTACTCCCCAAAGTGCTCAGATTCTCACGTGAGTTGTGACGTATCCACCACATAGGGAAAGGGGCAGGTTAAAAAGAGAATGGGAGTAGGGTAGATGGCTCGGGGTGGCCCAGAAAAAAGGGGGCCAGTGAATCATGTCACCCTACTTCATGGAGGGATACCTGGTTAGGGATTTGTGAATGTTGATCTTTGGATGAGTTCATTGACCTGCCATCTTTCAGAGCCCAGTGACTCTGAGCCATGCAATTCTAAACAAGTGGTTCTCAATATGGGGCAGTTATGGTCTTCCCCTTGGGACATTTGGGAATGTCTGGAGACACTTTTGCTTGTCGTTAAGTGGAAAGGTGCTACTGGCAAAAAAAAAAAAAAGAAAGGTGCTACTGGCATTTATTAAGTAGAGGCCAAGGGTCCTACAATGTACAGGACAACCCTTACAACAAAGCACCATTTTCCCCAAAATGCCAGTAGTACTCAGACTGAGAAACCCTGTTATAAACCAGTTTAGACCTTGGATGACCAAGAATGAAAAGAATTAATTCTTACGGAATTTTGATTTAACGAGTGGAGCCTTTTCTGAGTACAGGTTTCCCCCGCTATCTGAAAGTAGAGCGTTTCTGTGAACACCTTTTGTAAGCTAAAATGGCCTCAAGTTGAAGAAACAGTGGCCATTAATTGATATGGAAAAATTGAGGGCATTCCAAGACCCCAAAAACAACTTCTCTTGGGCTTTTTCTGATATCTTCGGACACATCTCGCTAATGGATGCACAGACTAAATGGAGATAGAACACGGATGCTCACACAGTTCGAAGCTCTGGAGGCTGGGTCCTGAGATGCTGAGTGTGGCCCTGGGGATGGAGCCAATTGGCAGGGCCACTGTGCTGCTCGGGGTGCGCACCGCCTCGGTAACACTCCTACAAAATAACCACTAAACACTGTTTTTGCTTTTCAGCTTCTTTCATAAAAGCAAAAATCCTCTTCGGATTTCTTCCTGTTACAGAGAATAGGTACTCATGTGGGTCTTTCATTAAAGCAACGTGAGCTTGTGAAAAGTGGGGGGTATGTGTCCAGTTAGTCTCCTAGGCCTGGCTTTGTGACTCAACACTGCATTGCCAGTCATTGGAGATGGTATTGGGCTTCCATTTTTAAGATTTTAAATACAAATTCACCAGGTAGTTCTTTGCTGTTTAACTCTGGTATTAGAACAAAATTAACAGTTGCCTTTGGTTTAAACTTATTCTCTTGGGCTTTTTCGGTGTGGATGGTACATTCGGGAACATGATGAGGCCAGCATTGTGTCCGTCTGTCTCTGGGCGATAATGAGCCATGGGACTGCAGTTTCTACTGTGCACGCCATTCTCACTCCTAGCAATCGAAGCTTATAGACCAGCTTCAGAGAAGAATGTACATCCACTGCAAATTTGGCATATAATTTTAGGTCATTGTTCCAAGACATAAGACAACTAAGGTGTCCTAACTACAGAAATACTGGCCTTTACTTCAGAGGAGCAGGGGCAGATGGGTGTGGCACCGACTGAAGGAATAGTGATGTTTTTAGGTGTGGGCTGATTCTGTGTTGTAAGGTGAAAAAAGGCTTTATAGCTCGGGAAGATTTTTGAAAATCCCTGCTGGAAATTATACTGAGAAAAAAAATTTACCTAATACATCCCCTTGGAAAATAAATTTTTAAAATACCAGTTAACCAAAAGAAAAGTAAAAGGCCAAAACATCTGGATTTTCATCACAGAGGAAATGAGGACTATATTTCAGGATATGTGTCTATATCCACTGACTGATTTATGTACAGAAGCCTATGAAACACCTTCACCAAAATAACAATAATGATGATAAGCACTTAACATGTAGTAAGTCACTTATTTAATTCTGCCTACAACACTGTGATCCTATTTCATACATAAGGGAACTGAAGCACAGAGAGGTATAATGACCCGCCCCATAATACCCAGTTAGCTGCGAAGCTGTGATGGGAACCCAGGGAACCTGATTTCAGAGTTCATGCATAAGTTTAGTAATCTGTACTATTCGCTTAAAATATATTCACTCAAACATCCTTCCATGCCACTAACTACATCTCTATGGAGGCATTTTAAGTGTTTTTTTAGTGTCCATTTGTTATATGCCATATTTTACCGTAATTTCTATGTACCTTAGTTTAGGTACCAAGTTCAGTGTTGTTGGGCATTCACTTTTTCTCATCTTTGCAATTTTAAATAATTCTGTGATGAACGTTCATGAAGAAATCTTTGTTCACCTGCTTATTTAGAATACAATGAAATTGATTGTTAAATCTAATTTTTAAAAGTTAGTATTTCTCAGTGACTCACATTTCTTCTTAGATTAAAAGAGCCTTGATCTTGTTTTCCAGGAGTGTGGACCAGCATCATGTTGGGGAATGTTTCCCTCCCACCACTTCTCCCTTCTTCTTGCTGCTCAGTTTGTTTTTGGGAACCTGCGCGATGCTGGTGAAAGAGACAGGCATCACGGTGTTTGGAGTGTGCTTGGTTTATGATCTCTTTTCCCTATCCCACAAGCAAGAGAAATCGTAAGTCATTTTAAAGTTTTTATATCAAGCAATGTATGTGCAGAGAAGAATTACTTAAATCAATAGCTTTCAAGCTTTCAGTAAAAAAAAAAAAGTATAACATTTTGTTAAACGTAACCTCGTCTTAGATCATAAATTAATAAGGTAATTGTTTTGGTAAGATAAATGCATTAGATATTTCCAACCCTTCACACTTTATAGAAATCAGTGAGGACTATAAAGATTTTGTGAGCCCCAAATTTGGAATTGGAAAGTATCTGTGTTAATTGCCAAGTTTATGTTGCTAGATTGTTTTGGTTGCGTATTATTGAGAAATTCTGATTCGCAAAGAGAAGTGGTTGCAAATGGTAACTGTTTCTTAACAGCTTGCCTTGAATCCCTGCATTCAAATGAGTGTTACCCATCAAAAAGCACTGCTAAGTTGGGTCTGCTTACTTGTTCTAGGGATGATGCTGTTACCTAAGAGTATTTGGGAGTCTTGTTTTGGAATTCCACAAAAGGCCACTCTAAACCATACATGTTATATTCAAATTAAAGGTCGAGTTTATTTAGTAGCCTATTTTCACTTAAAGAGTTTAAGCACATTCATTATATCCTGTGGATTATAGATGGTAAGAATGCTATGGCATATTAAAAGTTCAAGCACACACTATATTTTTCTTTCTCTATCAAATCCATAATTACAAACAATTTGCCATGCAGACCCCATTTTTCAGTAATTATAAGGCCCTTACTTCTGAACTTTTAAAAAAATGTGGCTGATTTATTCTTCTGCTTCATCCGACAAAGAATTTTAGCTTTAAAAAAACCCCTGCCTCTTTATCCCATTCGCTACCTCTTTATACTCCTTGACATAAAGATAAGAGCAGTGTTATTGAGTGGCAACAAGCTGAGATGAGTCATTACATTCTGATCACCTTCCTGCCTGGGCGTGCTTGGAGATAATTTAAATAGACTTTAGTGCTCTGGTGGCTCTCTGTAAATCTCAAGAGGCGTGTAAGAGGAAGGAGCTCGGTTATCGTTTTGCCCTAAGCTCATGCCAGGAAAGCTGTGAGCCTGAGGACCTCCCCTTGGCTTGTATAAGAGTGCCTTGCCTCTCCATCCTCCTGACCAATGGGAGGGATTGCAGTGCCAGCCTTACTTTTTACAGGACGACCTAGCAACCCGTCCTGTTCCCACTTCTTGCCTCCTCTGTAGCTCCGCGTCCTAAGCCCTTTCTGCTTTGCCTCCCTGACGGCAGAAGGATGTGACGACTGACTACAGACCCTCCCCTGTGGTCCAGTCCAGAGCGATTTTAACCTCATCCATGAAGTCATGTGTCCTCTGGTCTCGGGGCTCTCCAGCCCAGCGGTGCCTGTATACTCCTTTCTGCTTCACCTGGTCGCTGTTGAGCCAGGCTTTTTTCAAAGGGGATAATTGTCTCTTTTATTTATTTAAGAACTGTTCCTGGCCTTCCTAATACTAAACCACTGGAAGTTCTATGGGAGGACTCACACTGCTGATATGTAGCTCCAGAGTTGCACAGTTCATAGTCCCTGCTTTGTTTTTTAGTCGCTTTTGGCTCTCACCAGCGCAGCTCTGCATAAGTGGAGACGTTCGTTCTTTCCTTCATCCTTCTATCCACCCGTTCAACACATACTCATTCTGTGCCTGGCCAAGAACGAGAAAGATTTCTTCCCTCCAGGGGCATATACAGTAGTGGGGGGAGCCAGACGTTGTCTAAGTCATTACACAAGTAACTGATGACAGTTGCGAACAGCGGTCGGGACAGAGAGCATGTGCCGGGGAGACCTGGCCAATAACGGTTAAGATCTCTTGAGTCCTGGCCACATGCCAGGCATTGTGCCGTGCCATTTGCAGGCATGAAGTCACTTAATGTTCAGAATAACTGTTAGCCTCATTTTATGGAGGAGAAAACAGAATCACAGAAAGTGACCTCTCCAGAGTCACCAAATCTCAGGGGGAGCTAGGATTTGGATCCCTGTCTGTGTGACTCCGGAGCCACAGGCTTGCCCCCTGAGTAACCTCTGCCTCTGTGGACGGAACACAGAGCAGGGACCTGAGACCTCTCAGGACATCTGCTGCCCAAGGCCTGGGCTCACATTTGTACCATGAGATCAACTCAGACGTTCTGGATGTAGTGAGGGTCATGACCCTTTTGAAAATCTCACGGAATTGTGTCCCCTTTCCAAGAATAATGTACACACACACAGTTTTGCACAGACTCTTTAGGGCTGTCCTCCCACTTTATCTGTTCATTTAGAATAAACATCTTGGCATTAAGTTGTTCTTGAGGTCTTATATCATATGATTCAGGCACCAGGAAAGACATGGTAACAAAAACGAATGTTGGAAGCCCTTCTACATGAAGGACAATTTATTCCTAAATTTTAAGATTGGACCACAGGAATGGAGTGGGATTTCTTTGATTTGACATCACCATTAGGAAGAAACATTTTCAGTGAAAGATCAGCTCCCGAAAGTTAAATTTCTTTTTACTTTTCTTTCTTTTCTAAAAATTTGGATACCATTTCCAACATGCGGAGAGTCACATTCCTTGACTCCAGTCCCTAACCTCTTTCTCTGAGAGTAACCACTGTCCTGAATTCGTCACTTTTCATTTCTATGATTATTTTTATGCCATTACTTAATATGTATTTACCAGTGAGTATCAAATAGTATATTTTTAACATATTTTCAGACTTTATATGAATAGTATCACTAGCTTTTCATTTCACTTGGGATTTTGAGATACATCATTCTGGATATGTGTAGCTATAGTACATTCAGTTTAACTCTTGTACAGTTATTTAAATATCAAAATTTATCTGTTTTTCTGGATTTGGAATTTAGGTTATTTGTACATTTTTTGCTCTTTTAAACTATGCTGCAGTGGATTTTGTGTGTGTGTATGTGCAAATACATGTGGGTTTCTCTCAGGCATAACCACAGAAGTAGAGTTGCTGGGACCACGGATAGATGCACATTAACTGTGTCCCGTATTGAAGCATTGCTCTTGAAATGATTGCTACAACGTCTGAGAATCCCTTTTGCTTTGCTCCATATTTTGGGCATCACTTCGTAGTATCAGACATTTTAATTTTTGCCCGTTCGGTGGTTATGAATTCTATCTCAGAGGATTCATGAAAGAAAATGTAATCAAGGTACATTGGATAGATCAGCGATGAACAGTATTTTATAAGATCATAATTATGTAAATCCCGAATACCACTTCAACCAAATATTTTGAAAGAAATCTATCTGGAGGACGAGGGGTGAAGAAGAGGGTGTGTGTGAATGTGTGTGTGTGTGTGTGTATTTGTGTGCACATGCGTGCCCGCACGTGTATGTTTGTGTTGGTGACCATGTAAGAGGGACTGAGACTTCTAGTGTAGTAAGTAAGGCTAAGTTCCAAAATAAAAAAATAATGTTATAATTGTGTTATTTTTTAAAACATTGTGATACATACCAGAAACAAAAGAGCTAAAAGACTTGAGAATGGTTGCTTCCAGGGAAGAGGACTTGGGAGTGGGCCAGGGGACTATTATTTCTTGTTGCAAGCCTTGTCATTCTGTTTGACTTTCTTTCCCCTCAATGCCATGTGCACAATTAGGAGCAATGGGGTCATCCATCAGTGCAGCCCTCAGCAGCCTTCGAACCCTCAGCCCCCCTCGCTGCCTGTGCACCCTCACCGGGAGAATGGGAAGCAGCATCGATTTCCTCACCGAGGAGCTTGGGGTGGCTGCCACTCCCCATCGCCACCAGAACCCAAGAGCAGTGGATTCCCTGTGTCTCCTCGAGCTGTGTGGTCCATGATGAGGTACTAAGCTGAGCTCCCCATGCCCATTTTCACCCTCCAGCACCACCTGGTGTAGCATGGGTGGGCAGGAGAAGTAAAGTACTGAGTGAGTGTTTCGTGACTGCCCCTCTCCCGCCCTGTTTCCCTCCCCCTTCTCTTCGTTCCTCCCTTTCCCTGAATTAGATTAGGTAGGAAAGGAGTCGCTAGAAGCAGCAAGTAGCTGCCCTGCTATGTGCCTTGATTTGGAAGCACGGGGTGAGGTGTGGGTCTGTGAAGCCGCAGTTAAGAAGGACAGACACTAGACCGTGTCCCTGGTGGAAGAACCTTGCACTGGAGAGCGGGTACCCTGGGAGTGTGGGCGAGGAGTGTGTGCTACGTTCCCCTGCTCCCTTCCCCGCTCAGTCTTCATGTGTGACAGGAATTCATTACAGCACGAGTATGGGGGGAAGCCCAGGGGACTCCGCCTCTCAGAAATGTTTTTGAGGATACAAGACAAGCTTTTATAAAGCATGTGGTTTTCTTTCTTTTAAAAAATATTTTGACCCAGCCATGAAAATTAACATAGATTCATCAGAACGGGCCCTCATTAATTAGGTTGCCTCTAAAATAACTCGAACCATGGGCAAGTCAGAATTTAATAAAGATGAAAATTAGATTCATCCTGTTAGCACTTTACCACTTCAGATTGCAGTTCTTATTTCTCTCTGCGGTCCCTGAAAACTCTCATTTCAGGGTCTTAATTTCCAGTTATTTCCACTTTTGCCTGTTGTTTGCATCTTGCTCCATTCATCATTCATTCATCAACAAATGGCTGTTGAACATCTGTCATGTGCCAGGCACTGTTCTAGGCACCAGGGATGTCCTGGTAAGTAAGGAGGACAAGGTCCTTTTTCTTGTGTAGCTTCTTTTCCAGTAGAAGAAGACAGACACTAAATAACCACCAAGGAATGGACGGTGTGAGGAAGAGTGATGGGCCGGCCTGGCTGGGCCAAATTTGGGTTGGTTGGTCAGGGAAGGCCTCCGGCATCCTTATAATGACAGGAGGAGCTCGTCCTGCAAAGACCTGCCAAGATCTGGGCAGAAGGTTCCAGACTTGGGATAATGAGCAAGTGGGAGTTGGAAGAGACGAGGTCAGGGAGCGGCCAGGCCCAGGTAATGAAGGGCCCTATTGGCCCTGAAATGAAGTTTGGATTTTGTTCTAGGTGAAGAGGGGAGACTTTAGAGGTTTCTTGTTTGTTTGTTATAAGTGCTGAGAGAAATCACATTTCCTTTTTAAAATATTCACTGGCTTCTTTGTAGTGCTTGATGTGAGGGGGCAAGAATAAAGCAGGGAGAAGGGTTTGGAGAATTTTATCCAGACTGAATGAGAAGAAGAAGGTCTTGGCCAAGGGCGACAAGGACTGAGATGAAATGCTGTGTTGGATTTGGGGCATCTTTTGGATATAGGTTCCACAGGACTTGCTGATGCTTGGGATGAAGGGAGGGGTAAGGGAACGGCAGAACATGAGGATTTGGGGGTTTCTGGCTTCAACATTTGGGTGAATGGTGGTGCCAGTTACTGGAGATGGGAAGGCTAGGGGAGAAATAGGTTTTCTGAGAGCAGGGGGAGGATGAAATCACAGAAATATATGAAATTCCTGTGGAAGGAAGAAAAGAGGTAAGAGAGTCCTATCAGTGAGGAAATCTTGACTTTTTTATGGAGGGCCATGGAGGAAAAGACAGCATTTTAGGGAAATTGTAAATTTTTTAAAGAAAGGCCAAGGAGGAGAAAAAAAGAGGAATTAATAGAATATTGGAGATTTCAAGGTGGCTTCAACATTTGACTCTCATGAAGGAGGGACCATGTTGAACTTGGCTCACATTTGTACCCCCGGTTACTTTTATAGTGTCTGGTTAATTGTACTTGCTCAAAGATCTGTGAAATGACTAAATTAATGAATTGATGGGAAGGAAGTATTGGAATTAAGCACAGAAAGAACGTTTTCAGTAAATTTGGCAATGAAGGAATGGTGGAGGGGTGCCTGGATGGTTCAGTTGGTTAAATGTCCGTTGGTTTTGGCTCAGATCATGATCTCAGGGCTGAGAAATCGAGCCCTGCGTCAGGCTCCACACTCAGTGGGGAGTCTGCTTCAGGATTCTCCCTCTCCCTCTGCCCTACTCCCTGAACGTGCTCGCTCTCTCTCTCTCAGATAAATAAATAAATCGACGAGGGAAAGAAGGAATGGTAGAAAGGGATGCTGTCTGGAGGTGGTTAGGTTTTTGTTTTCATATTTTAGATTTGATGGGCGTGTGTGTGTGTGTAGATAAGTTGTAGAGAGAAGAGATGAAGACACGGCAGCAGAAAGGGATGGGATGAATTATGGATACCAGGGGGGATGCTGCTGAATGTCTAATACCTGGCTCTCCAAGGAAAGGAAAGCCTGACTTGCATAGTTTGCCAATTTCCCATAAATTCTTCTACTGTGGCTCATTTCAGGCTACAGATGTGGTGAGGCCACTGACCGTGGAGTTGGGGGGAGATGTGCTAGAGCCCACCATTGTGCAGTATTTCCACTGCCTCACAGACCACAGACATAATCTCAAAAGCAGAGATAATAGTAAAATGAAGTAAACTAATGAGGAAGTGATGAGCTTCGAGTGGTTATCACCTTTGTTTTTTTTTTTTTTTAGATTTTATTTATTTATTTGACAGAGAAACAGTGAGAGAGGGAACACAAGCAGGGGGAGTGGGAGAGGGAGAAGGAGCAGGGAGCCTGATGCGGGGCTCGATCCCAGGACCCCCTGGGATCATGACCTGAGCTGAAGGCAGATGCTTAACGACTCAGCCACCCCGGCGCCCAGCACCTTTGTTTTTAATACGATTTTTAAAATTTTAAGTAGAATTTTCAGTAATGGCTGGACTTAATAACTGGCCTGCAGTATTCCTAAAAATTTAATAGTCCTCTTTTACAAGTCCAGGGTCCCAGGCGAGGACCTAGCTTAGGGGAGGAGGCAGGACACCTGTGTCATTTCATGTGAAGCTCGCTTCTCTGTTGAACTCTTGGGTGGTGGAAAGAGTCTTGCAGTCATCCTTGGACCACAGATGAAGCACCTTTTGACTTGTTTTGATGTAGGGTTTGGTGCTAACACATTGAATCAGATGGCATGCTCTTGTAGGTTACCTTTTTTTTTTAACCCCAAGCACCAGGGTAGTTATTTTTGAAACCGTGGTGTCTGAAGAGCAGTATACAGCACAGCTGGAACTGGGTCAGAGTTTTACTAAGTTACCATGTTTGTGGGCGAGAAGGACCATTTATTTTCCTTCCTTTGGAAAAGTTGTCATATATTTTCCCCCTTTTGAAAGGAAAGGTGTTATATTTTTGAGTATACATTTGATTAGTATTAAAGTTATTTTTGAAAACTATGCACAAACTTTTGTCAGAAGCTGGTCAGGTAAAGCAAATAAAAGTCCAGAAAGGTAGTGCTGTCCTGGTTCTTAAGATCTCCAGACAGTGTTTAAATCATGGCTCCTTTGCTTACTTGATCCTGGACAAGACACGGTCTCCACGAGCCTATGTTTCCTCATCTGCAAATGGGGAGAGCTGTAGTAATAAAAGCCTTTCCTCTCTGATCAGTTGTCAGGACTAAGAGCGATAGCACAGGTAAGGACCAGGTAAATCGGTGCCGGGCACACAGGTGGCCGGTCAGTGCGTGGCAGTCAGCCTCGTTGGGATTGCTAGTTTAATATTAGAACTGTTCTCATTCCTGTCCGGGTTTCTGGACAGCAGGATGCATCATGAAAATGGTGAACCTCCAGGATGCAGGCAGGGGATGAGGCGTTTGTGTGAGATGGGTCTTCTTTTTTGTTTCTTGATTGAACATCGAGCCTGTTTGCTAGTACACATTTGTATTGCATGCATGACATTAGTCTGACAAAAAATTGGGCTGAACACTGTCATTTAAAATGTTTTCAGAAGTTACTATGCACAGGGACAAATCCCAAGCCAGGGGGGAAAAAAAAAACCTACGTTTACTCAGTTGCTGGTTTTTCTGCATGATTCGGCGATTGACTTATGGGTAGAAAGTGCTATAAAAAACCTCAGACTTAGGGTACACACTCTGGAATCAGATAAAATTTCAGTTGATACTGTGTTTTACTGAATGACTCCATATGAAATGAGGAATGTTTTGTATGTAAACATTCCTTCCCTCATCTCCTTCATTATGTTAAGTTCATTCACACATGGGTACGTTTTCTTTTTCACATTGGAAAGGTTAGTGAATTCTACATGGAATCTTATCTTCATAACTCATATCGACATTTATATATAACTGTATAGTCACTTTTTCATGTGTATACTGGATTGATTTCATATTTAAATGACTGATCACATTAGGCACTGAAGAACAGTTCTTGGCTCAATAAATTCTTGCTCATTTCCTCTTTTTCTCAGCTGGATCTGTCATAGGTCCTTCATTCAACAGTATTTACTGAGCACCTACTATGTGCCAGGCACCATTTTTGGTGTGAGGAATATGGTGGTGAAGCAAACTCAGCCCTGCCCTCATGGAACTTGGCTGGATGATGATCATGGTGTTTTTACTTAAAATGAGCCCATTTTCTATCTTTGTGGGCAATGCAGTGGTTAGGTTTTTCACTTCAGTGGGTCTTGAAAGTTTTTCTTGTGAGTACCTTACACATAGGTATGCAAATCAAGAAACTAAGGTTTAGGACTGGAGAACAGTTTGGCACTAAAGTGAATTTGTAAGGTTAATTAAATTAAGGGGACTTAGGGAGGCATATAAATATTTTGACCTTCGCTGACGGAATGGGTAACTGATCTTTTAAGTGTCGTTTTAATGCTTGATTTCTGTAGACCTTGCATTGCACTCTTTTTTCCCCAAAGTAAGAAATGCTGTGCAGATTAAACTCCTGAGGTGGGATTTTGTACTTTCATCCACACATATGATCCTGTGAGTAGGGCAGGTGTGTTCAGATCATTATTAACAGTCTCATCTTAGCTTTCAGAGGAACTTCGTGA